TTCAAAGGGATACATGAACCCCTATGTTTATAGCAGCATTATTTACAATAGCCAAATTATGGATGCAGACCAAGTGTTCACTGATAGATAAACAGATAAAGAAGATGTGGTATATTATATACAATGGAATATTACAGATCAAAGAGTACACTTATGATGAAAACAAAGAAAAGAAAAATTGAAAGATTAGAACTATGAACACACATATACATTTTACCTAGATTCAACACTTCTTAACATTGTGCTACATTTGCTTTATCTCTCTCTTTTGATAGGTAAGGTGTAGTCTAGATATTTTTCACAGAAACATTTGAAAGTTGCAGACATTGTAAAATTTCACCCTGAAATATTCAAGCATGGGTCTCCTAAGAATAAGTTCATGCTTCAGTGTAACATTATACCCTTATCACATCTAAGAAAATTAACAGTAATTCTGTAATAAAATATTACATTCAAATTGAGACTTCCCAATTTGTCTTTAAAATTTTTTTTAATTGTCTTTAAGATTTTTTTCTAGGCAGGATTCCATCAAAATTCATGTTGTGATTTTAGTTGTTAACTATATTTTGTTTTTGTTTATTTTTTTAATTCCAGTACAGTTAACATACAGTGTTATATTAGTTTCAGGTAGATAATATAGTGATTCAATTCCATATATCACCCAGTATTCATCACAAGTGCACTCCATAATCTCCATCACCTCTTTCACCCATCCCTTCACTCATCTCCCCTCTGGTAACCATCAGTTTATTCTCTATAGTTATGAGTCTGTTTCTTGGTTTGTCTCTAATCTTTCAATTTTTCTGTAGGTTTGAAAATTTTGAAAATAAAGTTGAGAATTTAAAAAGAGATGCATTCTGAAAACAAAAGATCTTATGCACAGATACAGCATAACATATGAAAATAAGCAATCTCATATTGTTTGAATATTTATCTGAAAATGAAGTCATGGATTACTTTTATAATTTAATGTCAAAAAAAATAGAAAAGAAATAAGGGATGCCTGGGTGGCTCAGTCCAACTTCAGCTCAGGTCATGATCTCACAGTCTGTGAGTTCGAGCCCTGCATTGGGCTCTGTGCTGACAGCTCAGAGCCTAGAGCCTGCTTTGGATTCTGTGTCTCCCTCTCTCTCTGCCCCTCCCCTGCTCACTCTCTGTCTCTCTCTGCCTCAAAAATAAATAAAAACATTTAAAAAATTAAAAAAAATAAAAAACAAAAGAAATAGTGACAGGGCACTTGGGTGGCTCAGTTGGTTAAGTGTCTGACTTTGGTTCAGGTAATTATCTCACTGCTTGTTGAGTTTGAGCCCCACATCAGGCTCTGTGCTGACAGCTCAGAGCCTGGAGCCTGCCTCAGATTCTGTATCTCCCTTTCTCTCTGCTCCTCACCTGCTCATGCTCTTTCTCTCCTTCAAAAAAAAAAAAAATTAAAAATTAAAAAAAAAAGCAATAAAATGAGCAACTACAAAGAGTTCGGTTATGGCAAATAGGGTCTTTGAATGCTTTATAATTCACGAATGATATAGATGTTTAGTCAAAGGATGAGGCTAAGTAAAATCTTCCCAATGCTTGGCATCAATTTTTTTCTCCCTTGCTAAAACACCTTATAATATTAAGGAAGTTTCAAAACTCTCTACATATGCTTTATTCTAAGAGTAAAATATGGCAAATGTGTCTGATTTCTTTATATGATTCCATGGCTTAGCATTTCGGTTAAATTATATTAAAAGGCAAGCTCCTTAGCATTTTATGCTAAAACTCTAATTGAGGCTTCTAGCCATGATGGAGCTAACAGAGATCAGATTTTTCTCCCTCCTAAACAACCATAAAACTGTACAAAATATATGAAACAAGAGTTTTCAGTAATTTGACAATAGGTATTATGGGATAGTGATCTGGAGAAGAGAAACAAGATGGGTCCTATTACTACCTCAGTTTACAGGTGTGGGCTATTTCCAGGTACCAGCACAGGCAGGAAGGAACCAGATACCAGTGATTGGAGTGGAAAAAAGACAGTTTGGAGTTCAGAGAGGCCAATGTTATATTTTCAAGAGAGCTCCAGCAATCTGCAGAGGTGTCTCTTTGAGTCTTTGGCTGGAATTCATCTGCATATGAGTATGAAGAAACTATTTGAGGCTAGAGAAAGAATTGCTGGAATCAGCAGGTAGAACAATTACTGAATAACACACAGGGCTGAACAGAGCTCATGTTTTCTCCAGCCAGATTAGAAGTTCCTCTTAATACACAGAGCATTGGGAAGAGTCCTCATAAAGGCATTGCCTTAGTACTGTACCTACAATATAAAGGCTACCCTGGACCCTCCCAACAAAGCTTAAAAGATAAGACTCAAAAAGAGAAACCTGCTTCCAAGAAACCCAACTATGTCCCAGATCAAAGCCCAAAAATATTTAAAGGAAAACTACAAAAGTTTGTACCAAAGAATATGAAATTTTTAATGTCTATGATTTAGTAAAAAAAAATTACTAGGCATGCAAAGATGCAGAAAAATATGACCCATATAATGGAGAAAACTTAGGCAACAGAAACCGACCTAGAATTGACAAAAACGATAGCATAGCAGACAAGCACGTTAAAATAGCTATTATAAATATGTCATATGATTAAAAGTAATATATGAATAGATGAGAGAAATAACTGATATAAAATATTTAAAACTTCTAGAGATGATAAAATATCTGAAATTTTATACACACACATATATGGAGAAAGAGGGAGAGAGGGAGGGAGGAAGGATGGGATTAACAGTAGAGTATAACTATAAGAAAAGATCATGAACTTGAAGAGAGACCAATAGAAATTTCTAAAATGTAATATATACAGAAAATAAACATAAAAGGAACATCAGTGACCTTTGGGACAACATTGGGTCGTCTAACATACATGTAACTTGGAGCCCAGAAGAAGAGAGGGAGAGAAGAGGTTAAAAAAACAATTATTTGAAGACTTAATAACATTTTCAAATCTGGTTTAAACTATAAACTCATAGACCCAAGAATCTCAATGAGCAGAAGCAATGTGAAGAAAACCACATCAAGTCATATTGTAATCAAATTGCCAAAAATAATAATACGAAAGAAAAAAAAATTAAATAATGAGAAAAAAACATATACAGATGGACAAAAATAACAGCAGACATCTTGTCTGAAACTATGCAAAGTATTGGACAATGGAACAGCTTTCAAAGTACAAATCTTCCTCAACTTATGATGGGAATAAAGCCATCATAAGTTGAAATAAATTGGAAATGTATTTAATACACCTAACTTACCAAACATCATAGCTTAGCCTAGCCTACCTTAAACATGCTCAGACCACTTACATTAACCTACAGTAGGGCAAAATCATCTAACACAAAATGTATTTTATAATGAAGTATTGAATAATTCATGTAATTATTGAATAATATACTGAAAATGAAAAATGTAATGGTTGTAAGTGTATTGGTTGTTTACCCTCATAATTGCGTGGCTGGCTGGGAATTGCAGAATGCTGCAACTACCCAGCAACATGAGAGAGTAATCATACAACATATCAATAGGTAAGGAAGAAATCAAAATTCAAAATTCAAAGTATGGTTTCTACTGAATGCATATCATTTTCACACAATTATACAGTCGAAAAATTGTATGCTGAACCATTAAAAGTCAGGGACTGTCTGCACCAAAAAAACCTCACAACCTACAAATTCCTAGCTCATACATTCTTTAAAAATGAAGATAAGGGCGCCCCGGTGGCTCAGTCGGTTGAGCCCCCAGCCAGCTCAGGTCATGATCTCATGGTTTGTGAGTTCAAGCCCCACCTTGGGCTCTGTGCTGACAGCTCAGAGCCTGGAGCCTGCTTCAGATTCTGTGTCTCCCTCTGTCTCTGCCCCACCCCCTCTCATGTTCTCTCTCTCTCTCTCTCAAAAATAAACATTAAAAAAGTTTTTTTTAATGAAGATATTAAGACTTTTTCAGATAAAAGCTGAGAGTATTCACTGCTCACAGAACTACATTATACAAAAGAAACCATAAGAAATTTTTCAGGTAAAAGGAAAATAGTATCAGGTGGAAATTGGGTTCTACACTAAGCTATAAAGAACACCAGAAATGTGTTCCAAAACAGATATTTTCCCATTAAAAAAATTTTTTTAAAGAGGATTGACCATTTAAAATAAAGATAGTAACAATGTATTATAGGGCTTATAATATACATGGAAGTAAAATGCATGACAATAAGAAGGGGGAAATTAAAATATATTGTTATAAAGTTCTTACAATACACATGAAGATGTATAATATCAACTAAAGGTAGACTGTGAGCCCACAACTGGGGTAAAATTGCTTTTTTCTACATAGAATTATCAGTAAACGTTTATGTACAACTTTTGCATGTGATGTTTCAGGCTTCAGTGCCTTTGCACATATTTCCTATGCCAAAAATGCCATCTCTACTTGTTTACTTGATGAATTCCTGAGCTTCCCTTTTCCTTCAAGTTTCTAAAACTCCAATGACTATTCTTCTAAAAATCTTTCCTTTATCCCGTTTCTTCTACTTCTACTCTCAGTCACTTAATCCTCCCTATTCCCTGAGAAGTTCATAAATACTTCTACTAGCACAGATTTCATTTTATTATAAATTGTACTATACACATTATACCTGTTAGTTTTCAAGGGTAAAGACATATCTTTCTTATCTATCTCTAAATGTCCCCAATAACTAGCATGGTGCCCAGTTGTGTAGAAAGCATCCCTTAAAGCAGTCCTTGCAGAGTTTTGTACCCAAACTTTTATTCCTGTTTCTGCCTTGGGCAGAATAAGTCACTTCCAGAATCTTCTCTCACCTCTCACTTCGTGAAGGTAGTAAGAGAGATGAGTAGCTAGGTAAGCCTCTGTATATGGGCAAGGATATTTTTACTATTTTTTCAATCTTCAAGACTATACACTACTTATTTTAATATTTTTAACTTTCTTACATTATAATGCACAAGTTAAACTTACTTCTGCCATTAACTCTAATGGAGCATGAGTATCCTTATTAGGGTGACTGTCTTCATCATTATCATCATCACTGGTATCATCTTCACCATCATCATCTGTCGATTCAGATAACTTATCATCAATACCCTGAAGGCAACGTTTGTTATTTTTCTCCTGCTCTTGAAGGACTGCATCTTTGCCCACTTGACCTAAAATAGAATATGCATATTTTTTTAATTTAAATTTAAATTTTTATTTTAGAGAGAGAGAGAGAGAGAGAGAGAGAGAGAGAGAACATGCAAGCCAGGGAGAGGGGCAAAGGGAGAGAAAGGGAGAGACAGAGACAGAGACAGAGAGAGACAGAGAGAGAGAGACAAAGAGAGAATCTTAAGCAGGCTCCATGCTCAGCACAGAGTCCACTACAGGTCTAGATCCCGTGACCCTGGGATCGTGACCCGAGCCAAAATCAAGAGTCAGACACTCTACCCAGGCACCCCAGAATATGCATAATTTAATCAATACTGAAAAGTTCAAAAATTAAAAATGGTTACTCCTAAATTAAAATGTATATATACTATATGGCTCCCTGTTCTGGGGTTTATTTTTTTCATGACTAAACAGCACTGCAATGAACTTACCTGATTTCCAAAAAAAAAAAAAAAAAAAAAAAAAAAAGTAATACAACTACCAAGAGGGAAAAAAACAAACCCAAAACACTGAACTAATCTTAGTGTTGTTTGGCGCTTAAAATTTTAATAGTAAATGGAAAACAGTTTTGTTTATATAAAATATGATTTCAAGAAAAAAAAAAAGAAATGAATACTATTCTATCTCCAGAAATACATTTCCTAAATTGTTCTTATAGGAAGGTAAATATGAAATAAAGAGCCTGGAGAGTAAAAGTAAGACTGGAGAGGCTGAAAAGAAAATAGTTCTTCTCAGGCAGGTCATGTCACTGCTTGGATACTTGAGAATAAAGTTCTTTCTCTCTCAACACACACACACATGCAAGTTAGAAAAGACATGTGGGGGCGCCTGGGTGGCTCAGTAGGTTAAGCAGCCGACTTCGGCTCAGGTCATGATCTCATGGTCCGTGAGTTCGAGCCCCGCATCGGGCTCTGTGCTGACAGCTCAGAGCCTAGAGCCCGTTTCAGATTCTGTGTCTCCCTCTCTCTCTGCCCCTCCCCTGTTCATGCTCTGTTTCTCTCTCTCTCAAAAATAAATAAACGTTAAAAAAATATTTTTTAAAAAGAAAAGAGACATGTGAAGTATTCTAGCTATAACCAGAAGTTACTTAACATTAGTAATGATTTTTCTAATGTCAAAACTCAATAGTTATGGTGAAATGCAGATGACTGAAAAATAAAAATAAGCACTAATAACTACCCATTCAGTGCCCAGCACTATGTAGAGTCCCAGGAACACAAAAATGACAGTTCTTGACCTCAGGGTACTCATTCACACTCTAATTGGGGAGTAGAAACATAATGGATAGTGATAAAGCAGTATGGAAGTACGGTGATAAAAACGTGTGGAATAAACAAAAGAACAAAGGAAGGCCCCATGCCAACCTGGAGAGTGGTCAGGAGTTGCCCAGTCTGAGTGGATCAGTTTTTCTAAGGAGAGGAAACCAACACAGAAACAAGAACGTGCCTCAAAGCACTTTGACACTTCTTAGGGGTCAAGGTTGAGACTAAAATGGTGACAGATGTGGCTGGAGGGGTAGGTAGATAATGGAATCTTATGGGCCAGGAGCCTTGGAATTAGGACTATACCCTAAAAGTAAACCCTACTAATGATGGATTTTAAGTACGAAAACAAGTATGGTCAAATCTGCATTTCTGGAGGAACACTTGGTCAGGACGGTGGAAAGTACATTTGAGGGGAGACCAAAAAACAAAAAGAGCAAGGAGAGAGGTTAGAGGTCTCTTTTAAAAGTCTAGGTGAGAAATATGACTAATATGAACTGGTAAAATAGGGATGGAGAGGGGGGAAGTAGATTAGAGAAATATTTAAGAAGTAAAGTCTCTATGACACAATCTACTGGAACATTTTCCAACACTTCAATTCTTATATTATCTGCATCTATTTTTGCCATATGAGTATCACCTATACTAATTACTCAGTATTTTTCTTTGAATCTACTTTTTTAACATATAAGTTTTATCAGATCACAAATACTACCATCCATGAAGCTGATGGATATACGAATAAAAATAACATATAATAATCCCAACAAACATTATAAGTCATTACTCTTTTGAACATTAGATATATTAACTCATTTAATCCTCTCAACATCTCAATGAGGTGTGTACTATTTTCACTCTGTTCTTAGATGAAACAGAGAGACCGAGAGGTTAAATAACCCACCCAACTTCATGCCACTAATTAAGTGGTGGATCTGGGAGTCAAGTTTGGCTCCAGAATCCATATTCATGACCATGTCTTACCTTTTTCTAACATACATTGAAATATATTATCATTAAACTAATTTTTAAAAAAAGTTACTATGTGTTTCCTAAAATTATGTCTTTGGGAAATACTACTGAGTGAGCTTGTCAACTGCTCTGGCTCTACCAAGGTCTTTCACAGTTTCAACCTGAACTTGTGTGAAACCTTGCCTTCTTGTAAGATTCTGAGTGTCTGGAAGTCTTGTGAGATGCCTTCTTGGACGGGAGTTTGGCCATTAGCTACTCCAAATCATGTAGAAACACTCGTGTCGGAAATAAAATGAAGAAATCGAGGAGATCTCCAGAGACAACAATGTTAGGAAAACGCAGGCCAAAAAAACAAAAAGCTGATAAAACTCCAGACTCCACAGCAAACACCTGCCTAAACCAAAAAATGCTACCCTGAAAATAGGTACCAGTCCTTCCAAGAGTAGGATGGCTGGGCTCTTCAGGCCATCTACCTGCTTCTGTTTCATTAATAGTCTCCATCAGCTCACAGCCACCCTGATCTTCCAGTGGGTACCTGGTCTGTTCAAGACTCATCACGCTGATGTCATCAGGGTAAGGTCATAATAGGGAATTAAAGACTTCATGGGATGTCACAGGAACCGTCTCATTCGATTTACTAACACTGAGCCATTTATTTACATTATAGCACCTACCACAACCTGTCATTGTCTTATTTTTCTGTTTATTATTTATATTTAATAGTTGACTATCTCCCACTAGAATGTGGACTCCATAAAGGCAAGGATGTTGCCTATTTGCCAACTATTGTATCCACAGCTTCTAAAACAGTCATGGTACTCAATAAACCATTGTTGAATGAATGGAAGTTAATGCTTTCATTGGTATTTTAATCCATTCTAAAATGCCTCATCATTACCATTTTATATAATGTATAGCATGAATGCCATACTCGCATATCAGAATCATCTGAAACATGAATTTGAAAAATTATAGTACAGGTACCTCTGATTTGCTCCAGACCTACAGAGTTGTCAGAATACCAAAGGTCATGGAAGAGGGCTCAAAGAGAAGCTACATTTACTCACATAAAACATTATTACCTATGCTTTCTTTTAAGAAGGAAGATGACCATAGCTTAGACTGTAGATTTGTTTCTGTATCTTTATTTTCAATACTCTTTGAAGATGCTCTATTTTCAGTATTCCTTAAAGAGGCTGTATTTTCAATATTTTTTGAAGAGACTTCCTTCCTAAATGTTAAAATAAATAGTGAAAAAATACTTTCCTAGGTCACGGTTCTGTTTATAAAGCCTCATATGGGTTCATATCCATATGCACGCACGTGCTTACACACACACACACGCACAATACAAACACAATATATCAATAATAAACTAAATAGCTAAAATGTAATATCTTCTTTGTGGAAAAGCATTAAAAATAATTTTTACTGATAATTATAATTTTATTTCTATCTGGCATCTGTCATTGTGTAATGATTCTTAAAATCTTTTCAGAATTCTTTAACGTAGAGCATACAAGCACTCAATTATATGAATGTCTTTGGCACACCACTGCAACACATTGGAATAAAACTAGAAACACTAGCCTTGAGTTTTTTCTAGGTTATCAATCAATTCTTACCATTGCTAAATGCTACACTCAGAGAGAGAGTCCAACACTAAGATCAACCCTTGGTCATAACATAAAGTAGCCTGCCTTTCCATTAAGTAGCTGAAATAAAAGTGGGTTAATTTTCCCTTTCAGCCTTTCAGCCTGAAACTTCATGTCAAGAATAATGCATTAAGACAGAGGATTCTTGTGTGGTGCACTCTGTTTACAAAGATAGGTACTCATGCTGGTGGAAAAGGAATCCCAAGTCTGTTTTCTGAGGTCTTAAGATTCTTTTTAATATGCCTCCTTTACCAAGTGAAAAGAAAATTCAACTTCTGCTTTGCATGTCAAGATATAAAAAGATGTAAAGTAGTTTCCCCCCAAAGTTATTGACATGTGAATCCAGAATGTGAGTACAGTTAAGTCAGTGATCTTGTACAGTGATTTAGCAAACAGGCTGGACAGCTTGATAATTCCTGATATTAATTCCTGATATTCTTAACACTGAGAGGGAATAGAATCTTGGCTTCCTCAGTATATGCTTCTAAAGCAAAACCCCTGTCTGGTAATGAAAAATGCAAAGTTGATTTACATTTGGTCTGCCTCTGCCCTCCTTGATTTTCTAATTGTGAAAGAAAGCATCCAAGAAGAAACTCTACATATAAAAATTTGAGAAATCAGTTAAGTATTTAATTTCTAGCCTGGTGAGATTCCCATTATGCCAAAGGTTGCTACAAGTGATAACTAGAATTTATATGCTCTAATATCTAATCTAAATAAAAGAGCTTTACTGCCTCCCTGCTCTCCACGAATTAGTGTTTCATTGAATCTAAGATACCATGTATTTATTAGAAGACATACTGTTATTTAAAAAGAAAAAGCACTGCCAAGTTTAAGTGTAAGATGTAATCAATTTTAAGAGATGTTAAATGTGAAGAAAATATGTATGCTTTAGAGTCTATGATACATGTTACTTGCATATTCACTAAGTTATATCCCTAAGGAAGGGAATTTATCTGGTATAGTTCTGGGCATTTAAGTAATTGGAAATACCTCTAATAACCTTAGTGACACAACATGGAGGAAGCCAACATACTCAACGGCCTGATATTAAATGGGATATTACTATTTGGAAGCAGTGAACATGCCATAAAAATACACATGAGAATTGACAAAAATCATTTTAACAGTAAAATATGAATTCCCTTTCTGCTCACCTTCTGTAGTCTTTCTCATATGTAGTTTCAAAGAATCAAAGGCCCAAAGTCCAATGTCTTTTTCAACTTAATCTTTTGATTTCCATTTGAGAAAGTGACATTATTGGTAATAATGCCTCTAACCACTTAAGAAAAATAGATAACTAGTATACTCTAAAAGATTTGTTTTCTTTAATTCAAATACAGTTACAGTTGAAGAAAAATTCAAATTTTTACTTTATCTAATATCCTTTGGAAATGGAAGGTATTTAATTTAGTTTCTACTTAGGTTAGAGAGTTAGTCAAGTAAGACACTGAAATATTTATGCTGGAAGGTAGATAACCTAGATTTTAGTATGTTAAGAGTTTGGGGCATATTTATGAAATGGTCCCAAATTTCTATTGGAATAATTTTTTCAGTAAGTTTATGTTTTAAACTTTGTTTTAAAATTATTTATAGTTGTCAAACATGGGCCTAAAACCATAATTGATTAAAACTTACTTTTCTAAGATCGTCCTAGCTACATTTAGAGAGACTTGTGTTGGCGAGGTACAAAGTTTGCTTGCCAATCTTGGTCTGCGTCCAAAGAGGCATTTACTTAAAGTATAAAAATAGAAATAAGAAAATAACTTGTCATTCATTTTAGGAGGGATAAAACATGCGATTATGGAAAACCTATAGACACAATTTTTTAACCTCAGAGAATTGAATGCTATGCTATGGATTTACCTCAGCCATTTCCCCTCACATTTTTTTTTTTTTTTTTTTTTTTTTTGAGAGAGAGAGAGAGAGAGAGAGCGCGAGCGAGCAGGGGAGGGGCAGAGAAAGAGGGAGAGAGAATTTTAAGCAGGCTCTACACTCGGCATTAAGCCTGACACGGGGCTCAATCCTACAACCCTGGGATCATGGCCTGAACAGAAATCAAGAGTTAGATGCTCAACTGATTGAGCCACCCAGGTGCCACCCCTCCCCCACATCTTTAATCTTGACTCAAAGCCCAACAGGTCAAAGGTTCAAGATCTATAAAATTTCATCTAGCATTAAAGATATATTTTATTTTTATTGCTGAAAATGGCTAATTAAGTTCAATTTGTTGAGTAGACAAAATCTTTCACACACAGGATCCATGGGGAAAAGAGGAAATAATAAATATGGGCTTTGCATGCAGAGAAGTTTGAAACTCCTGGAAAGACATCTATATGGAGAAAATTCATCAACTTTGCAGGTCACACTGTTCCTCAAGCAGAGGTCCACTATGATTTTCCTTTTTCTTACTTGATCATATTTTTCCAGGACTGGTGGCCCTGTCTACCTTAAACTCTGGGTAAGGTACATAGGTAACAAAGCCACACACCTGTGAATCTCACTGGCTACACTAACCATTTTCCTCCTCCTCCCTCACTCCAAACAACAATCAAACCAAACCTAAACTCTTCTCTGCACGTGAAAAAGGGATCATTTTGGCCTTGCAAAAATTATTTTGACACGCAGATACAATTATTCATGAGATCAAGAGAACAAGTCATCACTCTGCTTTTCTATTTTTGGCCCAGGCCGCATTTGATTTATCCCTGGGGTTTAACTCAGGATGTGAATTGCCCCTTGCTCCAGTTCCAATGCTGCTGACTTATCACAGTCTATGAACATCAGTATTCACAGATACAATAGTAATTTTATTTTCATTAATGACCTACTATTATTATTGAAATTATATCATATTTCCCTCAAAGACTTAAAATTTTCTTCCATTTTAAAATTTAAGTATGTTTCAACCATGTAACAGGATATAGATACTTACATATGGATACTAAATATAGATATTTACATGTAGATTAATACATTTACATGCAGACTGATATATGTAATGGGGCATTTATTTTTTCTGGTTGTCTATAACACTTAATCTGAAATAAACATAGATTCTCTGTCTTTGATCTGTTATACATTCTTTCTCTTAAAAATTTTTTTTATTGTTTATTTTCAGAGAGTGAGAGAGAGTGGGAGAGGGTCAGTGAGAGAGGGGGAGAGAGAAAATCTCTGCGCTGATAGCAGGCTACTGACGTGGACTTGAACTCACAAACCATGAGATCATGACCTGAGCCAAAATCAAGAGTCAGACACTTAACTGAATGAGCCACCCAGGCACCCCCATTCTTTCTTTTTAAGATAAACACATGTATTTAATATATAATTTGCAACAAAAGCCAAGGTGAACTGTAATTTTCATTTTTAGCTTTGACAATATAAAAATTAAAATATATATTTCATAAGGTAAAAAATTTTCCAGCCAATTATACTCAAACCAAATAATATCAGTTTGGCACCACTCTACCAATCTGTTAACAATTGATATCTATGAATGTGTTTTACGATCAACATTCAAAGTGTCATTTTTCATGGAATAAAAAATAGGATTTTTTTTCAGGAGGTAGGAGATGATCATAATAGGAAGGGCTTTGAAGAATTATCAGAATCAGTGCCTTGAACAAAGCAAGTACTGAATATTTAGCTACTATACTGAAATTGAACCATGATTCTTTTTAACACCAGTCCCTTCAACTAATTAGGGCGATTAGTTTCCCTTATTTAGTAGTAATGTTTCATCCCATAGTAAATAAAGAATCTTTAAAGTAAATATTAATTTAAAGGGATATTCTGAAAGAAATAAGCAAGTACCAAGAAGAAATAGGAATGAGCAATGAAAGTTGT